GTTCGTGTGTCTGTCTGTCCATCCGCCCGTACATCCCGAAATCTTGTGAACGCAACTCCTTTTAAACCGGATAGCAGATTTTGCTTAAACTTACAGGGATGAACAACCTTAATGTGTAGATGGTAGTACCGGAAGGAGTTTTTGCTGCGACCAAATTTAACAGAATTATGGCCCTTTCTTAATTTTTTTCACTATATATACTATGTAGAAATTGTTTGAACGCAACTCCTCTTAAACCGGATGGCACATTTTGCTTAAACTTACAGGGATGAACAAACTTAATGTGTAGATGGCAGTAAAGGAAGGAATTTTCGCTGCGACCAAATTTAACAGAATTATGGCCCTTTGTTGATTTTTATGCTCCTCCCCGAAAAATTTCGGGGGAGCATATAGTCGTCAGGTTGTCCGTCCGTACGTACGTCCCAAATTCGTGCCCGGCCCATACTTTTGTTATTTGAAGTCGGATTTTGAAACTATTACACAGAAATGATCACCATATTGAGATGACGTGTGCGCGCTACATTTGGGTCGCTACCTTGAAGGTCAAGGTCACAGCATGGCCTTGCAGCAAAATCGTGTCTGGTCCATAACTTCATCTTTTAAAGTCGGATTTTAAAACTTTTTCACAGAAATGATCACCATATTGAGACAATGTGTTGCGCGCAACATCTGGGTGTCTTCCTTGAAGGTCAAGGTCACAGCATGACCTTGCAGCAAAATCGTGTCCGGTCCATTACTTTATTATTTGAAGTCGGATTTTAAAAATATTTCACAGAAATGATCACCATATTGAGACGATATGTCGCAGGAACATTTGGGTCGCTACCTTGAAGGTCAAGGTCACAGCATGACCTTGCAGCAAAATTGTGTCTGGCCCATCACTTTGTTATTTGAAGTCGGATTTTAAAACTTTTTCACAGAAACGATCACCATATTGAGACGACGTGTCGCGCACAACATTTGGGTCGCTGCCTTGAAGGTCAAGGTCACAGCATGACCTTGCAGCAAAATCGTGTCCGGTCCATAACTTTGTTATTTGAAGTCGGATTTTAAAATATTTCACAGAAATGATCACCATTTTGAGACGATGTGTCGTGCACAACATCTGGGTCGCTTCCTTGAAGGTCAAGGTCACAGCATGACCTTGCAGCAAAATCATGTCCGGCCCATAACTTCGCTATTTGAAGTTGGATTCAAAAAGTATTTCACAGAAATGATCGTCATATTAAGATGACATGTCACGCACCACATTTGGGTCGCTGCCTTGAAGGTCACAGCATGACCTTGCAGCAAAATCGTGTACGGCCAATAACTTCCTTATTTGAAGTCAGATTTTTAAACTTTTTCACAGAAATGATCACCATATTAATATGGCGTGTCGTGCGCAACATTTGGCTCGCTACCTTGAAGGTCAAGGTCACAGCATGACCTTGCAGCAAAATCTTGTCCGGCATATATCTTCATTATTTGAAGTCGGATTTTACAACTATTTCACAGAAATGATCACCACAATGAGACATTGTGTCCCGCGCAACATTTGGGTCGCTACCTTGAAGGTCAAGGTCACGGCATGACCTTGCAGCAAAATAGTGTCCGGCCCATAAATTTTGTACCGGAAGTTGGATTTAACAACTATTTCACAGAGATGATCACCATATTGAATCGACGTGCCGCATGCAACATTTGGGTCCCTACCTTGAAGATCAAGGTCACAGCATGACCTTGCAGCAAAATCATGTCCGGCGCATTACTTCGTTATTTGAAGTCGGATTTTACAACTATTTCACAAAAATGATCACAATATTGAGACAATGTGTTGTGCACAATATTTGGGTTGTTTTTACACTTTGAACTTTGTCTGTGGCATAATTCTGACACAACGAGAGGTATACCTTCCTGTGTGCAAAACCTATTCGGGGAGCATCACCTGGTTCAACCGGCTCTTGTTTCACTATTATACTATGTAGAAATTTTGTGAACGCAACTCCTCTTAAACCCGATGGCAGATTTGACTTAAACTAACAGGGACATTAACTTTAATGTGTAGATGGTAGTAAAGGAAGGAATTTTCGCTGCGACCAAATTTATCAGAATTATGGCCCTTTCTTGATTTTTTTCACTTTATATACTATGTAGAAATTTTGTGAACGCAACTCCTTAAATGGGATGGCAGATTTTGCTTAAACTTCCAGGGATTAACAACCTTAATGTGTAGATGGTAGTAAAGGAAGGAATTTTTGCTGCAACCAAATTGAACAGAATTATGGCCCTTTGTTGATTTTTAGTTTTCAACTTGTGGCACATGTAGTACAAAAAATATTTGACCTAGAGTCATAAGATTGACAGGGGGCATTCATGTCCTATGGACACATTTCTAGTTTTAACCAAACTGATACAAAGCATGATTTACCAGTAAGTAGGTCTTTTCATTTTTTATGGAGTTATACACATAAAAGGTGAAAAATGGTTGGTCTAGCCTGGATCAAAATGAGTTAATTATGATTTTCTTTCTTTTTAATATACAGATTTTCTTTTCATTTAATATACCTAAAACATTTGCAAGCAATAGATTTTATTATGCTCCCTTAAAAATTTCGGGGGAGCAAATAGTCGGCGCCTTGTCCGTCCATGGTTCTTTGACACTGCACTCCCCCTCAATGCCCTCTACCACTGTATGAAGTTTAAAGAATTATCTCCAAGGGTTTTCAAGTTATGCTCTGGACAAGACAACGGAAGGACATCTCCCCTTATAGAAAAATCTTGTCCGAGACATAACTCTAAAACTATAAGAGATATCATCATGAAACTTTGTAGGTGAATAGATCTCAATAGGTAGATGTGCAGTGCATAAGAACAATAACTCTTTTTGTTCTAATTTTGGAGTTATTGCCCTTTGTTAATTTTAACATTTTGAACTTTGTCCGGAACATAACTCTAAAAGTATAAGAGATATCAAGATGAAACATTGTAGGTAGATAGATCTCATTGAGTAGAAGTGCAGTGCAAAAGAACAAAAGAACCATAACTCTGTTCAGCCTCATTTTTGAATTATCTCCCCTTTTAGAAAACTCTTGTCCAGGATATAGCTGTAAAACTATAAGAGATATCAACATGAAACTTTGTAGGTAGATATATCTCAATGGGTAGATATGCAGTGCAAGAATCATAACTCTGCCCTGCCTAATTCTGGAATTATTGCCCTTTGTTTTTACTTTTTGATGTTGTCTTAGACATAACTCTGAAACCATAAGAGATATCAACAAGAAACTTTGTAGGTTGATAGATCATAGTGATTAGAAGTGCAATGCAAAGAACAGTACATCTGCCTTGCCTTATTTTGGAATTATTGCACTTTGAACTTTTTCCAGGTACATAACTCTTAAACTACAAGAGGTGTACTTTCCTGTGTCCAAAACCTATTCGGGGAGCATCACCCGACTCAAACCGGGCTCTTGTTCTTTCTTGAAATGCCATGAACAAGCCATGTTGGTCAGAATTTGGCCGAAAATGCATGTTTAGTATAGTCATACACAGGAAGAATCCTTTACTTAAAGCAGCATACCTCCGGATGAGCCAAATATTTCAAGAAATGAACTTGAGAAAAATGTTCTAAAAAATCAAGAAAACTAGAAATATTTAGAATTAAAGAAATAATTTACATGATATATGCAATTAATGACTGATTTGAAGTATTTATCAGTCACACAATGACAGTTCAGGCTGTTTTGCATATTCAGAGTGACTTATTTCGGAATTTTTTTATTGTTTTTAAGTGCTTTTTGCAATGTGGAAATTAATTCTTTGTTAACTTGACAATATTTTACATTTTGAAAATGTTCACGAAAAATTAGCATTATTAATTTTTGTTCGCCTTGACTTATAGGGGTTACTTTTGTCGGCGGCGTCGGTGTCGGCATCGTTGTCGGCGTCGGCGTCCCCTTAAGCTTGTCCGGAGCATAAATCAGTCATTATAAGTCGGATTGACTTCAAACTTGGTATGCATGCTTCTTACAATGACCCGAAGTGCAGTGCACAAGAACCGGTACTCTGAACTTCTTATTTCTTGAGTTATTGCCCTTTGTTAATTTCCATACTTTATTTTGTCCGGGCCATTTCTCCTAAAGTATAAAATCTATGGACTTGAAACTTCATAGGATGATAGATCTCATTACGAAGAATGGCAGTGCATAAGAACTGGTACTATGCATTTCTTATTTTTTGAGTTATTGCCCTTTGTTAATTTTCATACTTTATTTTTGTCCGGGCCATTTCTCCTCAAGTATAAAAGGTATGGAAATGAAACTTCATAGGATGATATATCTCATTAAAAAGAAGTGCAGTGCACAAGAACTGGTACTCTGCATTTCTTATTTTTTGAGTTATTGCCCTTTGTTAATTTTCATACTTTATTTTTGTCTGGGCCATTTCTCCTAAATTATAAAAGCTATGGACATGAAACTTCATAGGATGATAGATCTCATTAAGAAGAAGTGCAGTGCCCAAGAACTGGTACTCTGCATTTCTTATTTTTTGAGTTATTGCCCTTTGTTAATTTTCATACTTTATTTTTGTCTGGGCCATTTCTCCTAAAGTATAAAAGCTATGGACACGAAACTTCATAGGATGATAGATCTCATTAAGAAGAAGTGCAGTGCACAAGAACTGGTACTCTGCATTTCTTATTTTTTGAGTATTGCCCTTTGTTGATTTTCAAATTTCATTTTTGTCCTGGCCATTTCTTCTAAACTATATTGTTCACAAGGCGACTTATCCGACTCGCGGAGTTCTAGTTTTTTAAGCATTTATTTGAGGAATGCTGCTTTAAACCACACATTCTCTGTATTTTTTCTATGCTTGATTATGCTTGATGCAATGTTTTTATCATGGACTAAGATAGGTAATATATGTCTTAAATTAATAAAAATATTATTTATTCTCACAGATGTATTGAATAGAATTTTAGAATATTTTGTTTTGTTTTTACTTGAATGTAGGAAAATAACAGATCACATGTTCGAGTTTGAATTTGACATGAAAATTGCCACTGAGAAGATAGTATTTGGAAAGAGAATTCCATACAAATATTGCATTGAAAAGATTGAAAAAACTGGGAAGGATCAATACACATGGGAGCATTATTTGAAAGAGAGTAACACTGGAATGGGTGCTAATAGAACTCTCACTTTGATAGAAAAATGGAATAAGATAGGTAATAGCAATTATGTTAAACTTGTTGAATTATTTTATAGTTTGAATGTTTTCATTTTTTCCTTTGAATATTTTTATTCAGGTTTTATTATCCCCCTCCGAAAACTTTTCGGCGGGGGATATAGAAATAGTCTCCGTCCGTCCGACCTTCCGTCCGTCCGTCCTTCCGTCGGACATTTTTGTCCGGAGCATATCTCTAAAAGTATTTGAGTTATCAACTTGAAACTTCATAGGTGGATAGACCTCATTGAGGAGGAGTGCAGTGCACAAGAATGATAACTCTACCCTGCATAATTTTTGAGTTATTGCCCTTTGTTATTTTTCAAAATTGATTTTTGTCCAGAGCATAACTCCAAAAGCCTATGAGATATCAACATGAAACTTCATAGGTGCATAGATCTCACTCAGGAGGTGTGCAGTGCATAAGAATGATAACTCTACCTTTCATAATTTTTGAGTTATTGCCCTTTGTTATTTTTTCTTACTTAATTTTTCACCTGAGTGAGGCATAACTCAAAAAGTGTTTGAGATATCAACATAAAATGTCATAGGTGGATAGATCTTATTGAGGAGAAATGATAACTCTTCCCTATACAATTTTTGAGTTATTGCCCTTTGTTCTTTTTCATGCTATTTTGTCCAGAGCTTATCTCAAAAACTATTTGAGGTATTAACTGGAAACTTCATAGGTGGATGGATCTCATTGAGGAGGAGTGCAGTGCACAAGAATGATAACTCTACCCTGCATAATTTTTGAGTTATTGCCCTTTGTTATTTTTCAAAATTAATTTTTGTCCAGAGCATAACTCAAAAGGCCTTTGAGATATCATTATGAAACTTCATAGGTGCATAGATCTAATTCATGAGGTGTGCAGTGCACAAGAATGATAACTCTACCTTTTATAATTTTTGAGTTATTGCCCTTTGTTATTTTTCATACTTAATTTTTCAATTCATTTTTTTTCTCAAAAAGTATTTGAGGTATCAACTTGAAACTTCATAGGTGGATAGATTTTACTGAGGAGGGATGCAGCACACAAGAATGATAACCTACCCTGCATTATTTTTCAGTTATTGCCCTTTGTTATTTTCAGCCATCAGTATTCACATAAGTTTCAAATCTGTAATCACTATAGCCATCAGTTTTCATTATCAAAAGACCTCTTAAAATGGAATTATTCTGCTCTACTACATATACATTTTTCCAATGAGCAAACACATTTGGCGGGGGATGGCCATGTTGACATGGCTCTTGTTTTATCTTGTAATGAAATTTAAAAACTTTGAAAATGAATATTTAATGTTTTACAAGGTGTTAGACATAGAAATCGTGATAATTCATGATTTAAATTTGATATAATGGGAATTTAAGTTGCAATAAATACACAAATATTTTTGATTTGTATACAAACAGATGTCTGGCATCAGTACGATGGAGTAGTGGAAAAAGAACCGTCAACATGGGATAGGGTTTCAAGTTTCATTTTCTCCTGGAGGACTGAGCTAATAAAACATGCAAAAAAAGGTGTTGATTATTTTAGCTCAAATATTCTGCAATCAGAAGATTCCAGTTACTCTGTATCCCTGGAACAGCTAGAAATGTTATTCTTAGGCTTTAAAAGAGCCTATTATCATGATGGTAGATGTTGGGACTCCAAGGACAATAAATATAAGGAAGATGTAAGCAAACTTTCATTTGTATAGCATTTGTAGCTCATCTGAGGACAATGTACTGAAAATTGAGCTTTTGTGGTCATCCGTTGTCTGTTGTTATCCTTAATTACTTTAAACAACACCTCCTCCTAGACCACTTGATGGATCTTGACCAATCTCTACAGATCTTCAAGTGGTCCTCTACAAAAGTTTGATGCATAAGTAGGTCACAGGAGCTAAAAATAGACTTTAAAAATGAAATCCATTGAAATTTCTCTCACTATAATGCATGGAACTTAGATATTAGGCATGTAGCTTCCCCTTGTGATCTTCTACAAAAGCCTTATATATCATGCTCCTGAAGCGGCTCAGTCGTAATGGTCACTTAGTTTACATATGCTTATACAGGAAAATACAAGTGTAAAATGTCCCAATACTTTGTGACAAAGTTAATAAATGATGGCATCCTTAAGATATTATTACAGCGTTCCCAAGGTCAGGGAAAAGTCAGGGAAAAATGATTTTTTTCCAAAGTCGGGAAACGGTAGGAAGCAAAATCAGTAAAGGCTACATATTTAATTATAAGTCAGTTTATTCCACCATTTTGGTATCTTTATTGTTATGCCCCCAAAGGGAGGCATAATATAATCGCACCATCTTTCCGTCTGTGCGTCCCCACTTCATCTGTATCTGGACTGTAACTTGGTCATACATTGAGGGATTTAGAAATAACTTGGCACAAATATTAACCACATCAAGATGATGTGTCGCGTCTAAGAACCACATCCCTACCTTAAAGGTCAAGGTCACACTATCATTTTGAAGGTTCACATTATCGCAATAAGAATAAATAGGTACACACATTCGTGTCCATACTGTAACTTTGTCATGAATTGAATGATATTAAAATAACTAGGCAAAATGTATACCTCATTAAGACGATGTGTGCATTCAAGAATTAGGTCTCTACCTCAAAGGTCTCCGGACTGTAACTTTGTCATGCATTGAATGATTTTAAATTACCAGGCATAAATGTTAACCACATCAAGACAATGTGTGGCGTTAAAAAAATTACGTCTCTACCTAAAAGGTCAAGGTCACACTATCATTTTGAAGTTTCACATTATCACAATTAGGGAAAATAGGTACATACATTCGTGTCAGGACTGTAACTTTGTCATGCATTGTATGATTTTAAAATAACTAGGCATAAATGTCTACTACATCAAGACGATGTGTCGCCCCCAAGAATTACGCCTCTACCTCAAAGGTCAAGGTCATACTAACATTTTGAAGTTTCACATTATTATACCCCCAAAAACGAAGTTTGGGGGATATATAGGAGTCACCCGATGGTTGGTTGGTTGGTCGGTCAGTCGGTCCAAACGTCTGTTGCATTTTCCTTGTCAGGAGCATAACTTAAAGACTAATGGTTGGAATTCAATATAACTTCATACAATGGTCAAACACATTGAAAGGAAGTGCAGTGCACAAAAACCATAACTCCATCATGACTCATTATAGAGTTGTTGCCCTTTGTTACTTTTCCTTGTCCGGAGCATACATAATTTGAAAGAAAAAAGCAATGGAATAGTAACAAAGGGCGGTAACTCAATAATTACTCTAGACAGAGTTATGGTTCTTATGCACTGCACTTCCTCTTAATTTGCTTGATGATTGTATGAAGTAGTATTGAATTCCAATTTCAATTTCAGGAAAATGTCATGGAAAAGTCAGGGAATTTAAAATTTCTTTTCTTTGTGGGAACTCTGATTAATCATATACTGTAATAAGATATTTACTGGGGCATGCATTTTTTGTCAAGCCTGCTTGTTGTGAGCTTGTCACTTTTGGTGTATAGTTTGGTGTAACATACTATGTGCATCTGTGTGTGTCCCTACAAAATAGGGATAAGGGGCTATCTAACTGTAAACAGAACAAAAGAGATCATTCTGCAACAATAGAGGAAGGTGCCAATGGCCCTCTATTAAACAAAATACAATATCAATAGAAATGTCCCTTTATCTCAGTTAGGTAGCATATTTGTTTGTGTGTCCATCTGGATTTTTCCGGTCTATATCTTGCCCATTCTTGGGTTGGTATGTCACACGCAAAACCCAGATCCACGGCTCAAAGGTCAAGGACACACTTTGGGGTCAGGGCAAAACCTGTTTCTTGTGTAATTTCTACAAGCATGGAGGGATTTTCATATAACTTTGGGTAAATATTTGCCATAGTGAGGGGAGTTTTATGCAAAAAATTCAGATGTCTGTGGCAAAGGTCAAGGTCACACTAAGGGGTCAAAGGTCAAATAACAAAATAAAACATTCAGTTGCTAATATACGTACATGGATTTTCTTTGAAAGCCTTCATTTCAATGTTCTTCCTGTGTTTGCCTTTGGAATAAGTAAATTGTAGAGAAGGGCTCCCAGTTGACTATGACTCTTTTAATCAAAGTGCATCGACCTAGGAACTTATTGTGTAGATACAACTTGATGAGTTCTATGTGCCACTTTATTTTTTGTGCCCCTAATTTAGTGGCAGGCATTTCGATTTTACCCTTGTCCGTCTGTCCGTCCGTTCTCTTTTGTGTCACACATAACTCAAAAAGTATTTGACCTAGAATAATGAAACTTTACAGGAATGTTGATCAGCATGTGTAGTTGTGCACCTGGGTATTTCTGTCTGGATATTTTTAGTATTTTTAGAGTTACTGCCCTCGATTTAGTAAAATTTTGCAATTTTCAACTTGTGCCGCATGTAACTCAAAAAGTATTTGACCTACAGTCATGAAACTTTACAGGAATGTTGATCAGCATGTGTAGTTGTGCACCTGGGTATTTTCGTCTGGATATTATTAGTATTTTTTAGAGTTATTGCCCTTGACTTAGTAATATTTTGCAATTTTTTAACTTGTGGCACAATTATTATTATTATTGTAACTCAAAAAGTATTTGACCTAGAGTCATGAAACTTTACAGGAATGTTGATCAGCACGTTTAGTTGTACACCTGGGTATTTTTGTCTGGATATTTTTAATATTTTTAGAGTTATTGCCCTTGACTTAGTAAAATTTTGCAATTTTCAACTTGTGTGCATGTAACTCAAAAACTATTTGACCTAGAGTTATCAAACTTTACAGGAATGTTGATCAGCATTTGTAGTTGTGCACCTGGGTATTTTCATCTGGTTTTATTTATTATTTTTAGAGTTATTGCCCTTGACTTAGTAAAATTTTGCAATTTTCAGTTTGTGTCGCATGTTACTCAAAAAGTATTTGACCTAGAGTCATGAAACTTTACAGGAATGTTGATCAGCATGTGTAGTTGTGCACTTGGTTATTTTCGTCTGGATTTGTTTAGTATTTTTATAGTTATTGCCCTTGACTTAGTAAAATTTTGCAATTTTCAGTTTGTGTCGCATGTTACTCAAAAAGTATTTGACTTAAAGTCATGAAATTTTACAGGAATGTTTATCAGCATGTGTAGTTGTGCACCTGGGTATTTTCATCTGGATTTATTTAGTATTTTGAGAGTAATTGCCCTTGACTTAGGAAATTTTTTGCAATTTTCAGTTTGTGTCGCATGTAACTCAAAAAGGATTTGACATAGAGTCATGTAACTTTACAGGAATATTGCTCAGCATGTGTAGTTGTGCACCTGGGTATTTTCAATTGGATTTATTTAGTATTTTTATAGTTATTGCCCTTGACTTAGAAAATTTTTGCAATTTTTAACTTGCTCAGCATATTTAGTTTTGCACCTGGGGTTTCGCTTGTGGATTTAGAATTTGTTGAGTTATTTCCCTTGACTTAGTAAAAACCGTTTGATTATGCTGTTATTTGTTCCTTGAATACTTGAGTTAGAATCAACCAACTTTACAGGAATAATGATCAACATCACTAAATTACAGGAATCATGATTCACATCACTGTGAAGCTATGCACCTGGACTTTGAATGTGGATTTTTTTCAGTTTTGTTAGAGTTATTGCCCTTGATTTACAGTAGTGTAAATTTGCAATTTTCAACTTGTTCATGCATAGCTCAAAAAGTATTTGACTTGTAGGCCTGAAAGTTTACAAGAATGTTGGTCAGCATGTGTACTTATGCACCTTGGGGTTTGCTTGTGGATTTATATCAGTATTTGTAAAGTTCTTGCCCTTTACTTAGTAAAAGATTTTTAGTTTTCAAAAAATATTTGACCTAGAGTCATAAGATTGACAGAACAGTGGTGCGGTAGGGGCACACATGTCCTATGGACACATTTCTAGTTTTATTAAAGTTTTTGTTCATGGTCAATTACTTAAATTATAACATTGAAATTTGATATGTTGATGCATCATGATAGTTCCTGCCTGCCGCCTGCCGGGTATAAAATATTTGCCATTTCAATTGCAGATTGGTGGATCTATTCTCGATGTTATACTGGAAACTGCAGGAAGTTTACAAAACACAACTGATATGTCTGCAAGTACAAGGGAAAGACAAGTTGCTCTAGCCATTGCTGCTGTATTTGCTGCCAAAAAGTTGGATTTGTCATTTAATGTTAATCTGAAGAGCTGGCAAAAAGTCTGTGAACATCTAATTATGAGACCTGATCCAGAGAAGAAAACTTGCCTTGAATTGGACATTTTGGAAAAGTATTTTCCTGAGAATAGGTAAATGAAGAATGTTTATTGTAAAGATGTAGTCTTTTGATTTAAAGCTTCTTAAGTTTTTATTTAAAGTACATGTATAAAGTAATATTTGTGGATATTTTGTTATAATGATAATTTACTGCAGGGATTATCATTGTAATAGCTTGCAATTTTTGCTCACCAGGTTCTATGATTCTCGAAGAAATGTTATGATAGATTGATTATCTTGCTTTTGTCAAGTTGCATAAAATAATTAAGAAGAAACATTTTAATTTTAAACCCATGTCATAAATACTTTGCAAATATTGAGGCCCTCAATGGGTTACTTTAGATAGGTTATTACATTTTCTTAGCACAGGATAAGGTACTTTTTATGTGAATTAAGGACCTAAAGTCAATTGGATAAAATTTCATTGTTTTTAATGATTTAAATAAAAGTTACAGCTAAATAACATGGGTCAGTCTGCTTCATGGTTTCTGGATGTTTACTAGGGTTTGTAATTAGGTATTGTTATCAAACTTGGTATATAGCAACTTTATGTTGTAACCCAGGTTGGGATTGCTTTTGGACACCCTTGGGTCAAGGTCAGTGTTACTAACTAGAGTTATAATTTATTGTAATATAAAGCAAGCTTGTGCAGAGACCCACTTGTGATTGCTTTTTGACCTAACTTAGGTTAAGGCCAATGACATTGTACTCAAAGTGCAAAATGGTTTCCGTACAATAACTAGAGTTTAAGGAATGTAATATTGTAATGAAACTTGGCATTTTGCAAGCTTATGAAGAGATCTAGCTTGGGAATGTTGTTGGACTCCCTAGGTTCAAGGTCAAGGTCACTGTAACTGAAAATTGGAAAAATGGTTTCTGTGAGATAGGCAATGAATTGTTATAATTATTTTTATCATTAAATATTACTAAGGTTGTGTTCAAATTTTGCATCAAACCACTTATTTTTCAAAAACTTTTAGTTGTAGGTGTGGGTTTGAATCATGTTTAGTAATAGCTCTAGTTTTTTTAGATGGGATTCAATATACAGAATTAATTTTAGTTAGTAATATTTCGGAAGCTTTCTGCTAATTAGCACTCTCAATTCCTAGAACTAACACATTGAGTGAAAGTGTCTTATTCAGGAAAACAAAGTCTTGCCCATAATGGGGTTAACCCGTTTGAACCAACATTTTCAGTAATGCTTAGTTTCCTAGTCGTAAGGTGTTAACCACTCCGCCATGTCCCATGTTTCAAAATGTTAAAGTAACAAATTGAAGATGTATGTGTTTATTTGTGTTATTGTTATGAGCATTTTTATACGCCCTTTTCATGGGGCGTCTGTTGACTTCAAACCACTTGCCCCTCAACGCTGTGAGTTCTAATCACGTCAGGGACTTTGGATTTTTTCATGTGAGAAAGCTTTTCCAGCTTACGGAACGTTGGTGGTTCTACTCAGGTGTCTGTTAGATAATGCACAGAAGGGCACCTGAAGTCTTTCTCCACCAGGAAAGCTGGAATGTCACCAAATGACCTATAATTTGTCGGTGACATAAAATCCATTTCAACAATTAAACAAATACGCCCGTTTCGAAAACAGGTCATATCATAGTTTCTCACCTGGCGGGCGGTCTGGTGGGTGGGCGGGCGGACAGCGTCCAATCTCCTACATGCATGTAGGAATTAAGATGAAACTTCGTAGAAATGTTCCCCACTTTGATAAGCCGTGTCGCGTCATGAACCAGATCTCTAGGTCAAGGGTCAAGGTCACACTTGGAGGTTATTGAAAAATGCTTGTCTGGAGCAAGTCTTCTACATGCATAGAGGGATTTCAATGTCACTTGGCACAAATCATCACATTTGTGAGACTTATTGTTGCGTGCATAATTTAGGTCACTGTGGACAAGGTCAAGGTCAAACATAGGGTTCAAATTTCAGATAAAAATATGAAAATGTGTATTCCGACTCTTTAGTCATCATTTATTGAGGGATTGAAACACAAATGATCATTATCATGACTATGGGTGTGAAACATTTAATTAAGGTAAATATATGCATGGTCAAAGTCTCTATGTCAAAAGTCAAAGTTACATTTAGTAGTCATTGATTACGCTTGTCAGGAGCAAAACTTTTACATGCATGGGGAAATTTCAACATAACTAGGCATAAATGTTCCCCATTGTGAGGCTAAGTATTGCACACATAATCGAGGTCCCTGCAACCAAAGTCAAGGTCACATAAAGATGTCAAAGTTTGTGTACAGGGACCATTTGGTCATCATTTATTGATGGATTGTAACACAAATGATTACTATCATGACTACAAGTGTGACACATGTAATTATACCCTGCACAACAAAGTTGTAAGGGGGGGGGGTATACTGGAATCAGCTTGTCCGTCCGCCTGTCAGGCCGTCGGGTGTCTTGTCGGTTTTTTCTTGTCCACCCATAAACTTAAGATTCCTTTGACCCACAGTCTTCATATTTTCCTTGCAGGTTAGTTTGAGGTCACCAGGTCAAAGGTCAAGGTCACAGGGGCCTTGACATCAAAAAGGTTGCCCGCCCAATAACTTAAAATTCATTTGACCCACAGTCTTTGTGTTTGGCATGGAGGTTAGTTATGATTAGTAGATAACCCCTATTGATTTTGAGGTCAAAGGTCAAGGTCACAGGGGCCTTGACTCCAAAAAGCTAGTCCGCCCAATAACTTATGATTCATTTGACCCACAGTCTTCATATTTGGCATGTAGGTTAGTCTTGATTAGTAAATGACCCCTGTTGACTTTGAGGTCACCGGGTCAAAGGTCAAGGTCACAGGGACCTTGACAGAAAAGTTTTTGTCTGCCGAATAACTTAAGAATCCTTTGACCCACAGTCTTCAAATTTGGCATGCAGGTTATTCATGATAAGTAGATGACCCCTATTGATATTGAGGTCACCAGGTCAAAGTCACAGGGGCCTTGACTGAAAAATTATTGTCTGCCCAATAACTTAAGAATCCTTTGACCCACAGTCTTCATATTTGGCATGCAAGTTAGTCATGATTAGTAGATGACCCCTGTTTATTTTGTGGTCACCAGGTTAAAGGTCAAGGTTATAGGGTTCTGAAATGAAAAAATATTGTCCGCCCAATAACTTAATAATCCTTTGACCCACAGGCTTTATTTTTTGCATGGAGGTTAGTTATGATTAGTAGATGACCCATATTTATTTGAGATCACCAGGTTAATGGTCAAGGTCACTGGGGCCTTTCCTGAAGAAAGCTTGTCCGCCAAATCACTTAAGATTCCTTTGACCCACAGTCTTCATATATGGCATGGATGTTGGTCATGTCTATTTGGTGACCCATGTTGATTTTGAGGTCACTTTGTCAAAGGTCAAGGTCACTGGTGCCTGAACTTCAAAAAGCTTGTCCACTCAATTGCTTTAGAATGCTTTGGTCAACAGTCTTGATATTTAGTATTGAAGTTGGTTATGACTATTAGATGACCCCTATTGATTTTAAGGTGACATTGTCAAAGGTCAAGGTCACATGGGCTTTTATAACAATAATCCTGTCTGCTCAAATGCTTAAGAATGCCTGTCCACAGTGTTTTGATTTTTACATTTTCACATTTGAAGCATATAATTATGTTCTTATATATTCATCATAAAATACATCCAGGTATAGCTGCATGAATGGGGTGGGGGGTGGGGGTGGGAGCGGGTATTGAAGACTTTCAGTGGCAGTTTTAGTTTTGAGGTCAGTAGGTCAAAGGTAAAGGTCACTTTGATCTTTGCCACTAAAAGCATGAAGAATACATAACTTAGCAATGCACTGGTTACTTCCCTCAGATTTGGCTGGGAGGTTGGCCTTGAGCTCTAAATGACTACTATTGATTCTGACAAAGTGGTATGTGGGGGTATTCACGCCATGACAGTGGCAGTTCTAGTTACGGTTAATATTTGCAAGATCAAGGTCAATAGAGATGATAAAATATTCAGATATTGTCTGGATATTACCAAAAGCATATCGTCTATATGCATATCTATAATGCCCACATCTCTGTCAAAAGCTTTTGTGACAGGTGTATTTTGTGACAATGTTCCCCTTGATTATAATACATTGTACCTTAAACTTATATTAGCTTTTGCATTTTCTCAAATTAAGCTTAAATTTTAGTGTTATATATGATTTTCTATTTTAGGCAACAGATGAAGGAAGCGTTCTTGTCACTTGGCAAGTACATTTCATCCAACTCGAAGAATCCATCTTGGCTATTTCTGATGCCATGGATTCATTTTCTGTATGGACTGTGTAGTCCATTTGATAAACCAGCTTTTGATGTAACTCACGACAAGAAAGATCCTACCTGGTGGGGCATATCACAGTTAGGGGAGCATTGTGTCAAGTATTTTAGAGGGAAGACAGATCATTGGGAAATGTAAGACTTTTTATTGAATAATAAGGGGGCTATCCTCTTCACCTGTGCATGTATGAATATTTTGGTTGAAGTCTGGCATGTACCTTCTTCTATAACATCATATCTCAACAACAAGGCCTGTAACTCTAGAATGGATTTTGACTAATTTATAGCTAAACTTTTCTGGTGGAAGTGTTGCTTGCAACATTAATCTTAAAAAGTACTAAAAGACATGTCATGCTCCAGAAATGCCTATACAATGTATTTTCTTTTTCTCATAACCTTTTTTATAGACAAAAAAAACAACAACTTTGGATAAAATATTGTTATGCACCTGGCAGTCAGTCCGTCTATCAGTCTGTTAGTAATTTCGTAACCAGCAAGCTTAAACAAAATGGTTCTACTTGGGTGCTTTTCTGTGCCTGAAATAAACCTTGGAAGAGGTAGCAGCTGTTGTTTCCTCCATCCTATAATCTTGCCATACAATCTTTACAGTGAAAATGTGACTTGTGACTTCACAATCCTCTACACTAAAACAAACAAATAAATCCCAATGGTTGTTTGCTTTGCATTTTCTTCAAGGCATTGCAGCCAGTAAGGTTAGATGAGTATGGAGAGCTTCTTATATTTATTTAATTGAACAAGTTATTTGTGAATCTCATGATTTTTCCATACCATTAATTTTGTAATAGAAAAAACATCATATGTTATTGGTTCCCTGCCATTGATTCAATTATTTCATGTTTTGATATGACTTCTTAATTTTTGAAAAAATCATGGAAGTACTGATCAAGATTTACATGTAGCTTGCAGGTTCCTGACACATTTTATGAATTCAAAGAATCAAGTGTTCAGTAATCTAGAATTCATTTTATACTTGTTAATACCATCAAGCACCAGCAAAAGTCAAGCATACTGTCTTACTGATAGCTCTTGTCATTTATCATTTCAGACCAATAGAAAAGACCCTGGATGTTTTGGAACCAATGTTTGAAATGGACTATTTGTTGCCACGATCATTTGTCACTGCAGTAAGACTGAGAGAACTTGATTCAGTAATAGCTACAGGCAAAATTCCAACAGAAATTATCCTAGCAAACTTGTTCTTTCACATAAAAGACACTAGGCCAAGTTGGAAATTCGATTACATTTACAGAACATACAGCTATGGAGATGTCACTACTGATGAAAGAGTAAGCTGTCTCTTTTGCTTGTGTAGAAGAGTTAGTTTAGAATAAGTTTGTTTATTTTTGATGAACAATCTACTCCATCTCTTTAAAAAATTGTGTGTCATGTCTTTATAGATAAAATTGGTTTGTTTACTCTGTGACAGCAAGTTATGGTGGGTTAACACACTTATAATTCTAAGTGTATTGTACATTTACTTTTTATTTTTAAAATTGATGAATTAAGATTTGTTGATTGGATTTTTTCAAAAATTACAAGAAGTCAATCATCCATGGGGTGATCTGAAGACGAGATTAAAAAAAGATTTTTCTCATATTTTAGCTTGTAGAGAAGAGTATGAAGACTCTATTAGAGCACCTTGAAAAGTCACCAAAGCAAAGGTATAAAAATTTTTCTACTTTCTTTACTTTATGATATAGTAAAGTGCTAAGAGATTAGCTTTCGTGATATTGTTCATCATTTTCATCATTTTCTTTAAACAACATCTAGCCCATATAGTGAATTATCTAATAAAATTTCATAGGAATGATATTTTGGTAGTCCTGTACCAAATTATATCATGCCTTTGAGTTCAAATTGGCCCCACCCTGAGGTTCCTTTAGTTAACATGGTCTTGAAATTTTTATTCAGTAATAACGGCAGGTAAGTTCTGCCCATCACTTTAGCAGAATTATGCCCCCTATTCTGTTTTGCTGTTTTTCAGTGACAAATTAAATATTCATCAAGAGAAGATGCAAACATTCTTTTCATCACAAGTTTTCCTGGAGTGCACAAAAACAAATCGTGTTAATCCATTTTCAAGTTCTATTGGGATTATGTTGCACTGTTTGTCATCCTATGAAGAAAGAGAAGATAAGAAAACAATAAGCCAGAAAAAATATGCTTTAGGGATAATGCAACCATGTGTCCCTGAAGTCTTTAAATGGATAGAATCTTGGAGTTGGCAGTGGGTAACCTACATGGAAGACACTCTCAAGGTTAATGGATAAGAAAACTATTTATTTTATATAGATCAAATCCTTACATTCAAATTAGATTATACTTTCTATGATAGATTTGTATGCTTAGGTAAAACTAAATCAATTCAAATAAAGTAGTAAAGTAAATTCACATATTAACATTAGGATCAATCTACTTGTTAACTATCACACAATTTTATCATGAAATTCACTTTGCATGTTAATAAGAATTGAATGCAAGCATACAGAATTCTGAAACTTGAAAAGTATTATTGAAAATCTGTTGATTTTTACTTAAGAAAACTTTATAATTCAGTGTTGGAATATGGTATATGCACCAGACAGCATCAAGTCTCAACCATTATGTGAGGAATGGAACAAACAAATTACAAAAGTCCTTTGGGATAAACTACAAACAAAGGTAAAAGTTCAACATGAAAAAAAAATAGCTGGAAAAGAATAGCTGGTGTTTTCAAGCTATCAAATTCAAAACACATCCTGATATTGTCATTGGCACTTTAAAGCAATGATTAAAAAAAAAAACCTGAACTTTTTTAAATTTCTAACCTATAATTTGTTTGGAAAGCCTTTTTTGCTCTTTGTCATGTTTTATCATTCTTACTTCTGTTTGTCATTTGAAGTTTAAAGGATGTGCACTGCATATATTTTTGTGCCCCCACTTTAGTGGCGGGCATTTAGATTTACCCTTTTACGTATGTCCATCCTTCCGTCCATCCGTTCTCTTTTGTGTCGCACTTAACTCAAAAAGTATTTAACCTAGAGTCATGAAACTTGACAGGAATGTTGATCAGCATGTGTAGTTGTGCACCTGGGTATTTTCGTCTGAATATTTTTAGTATTTTTAGAGTTATTGCCCTTGACTTAGTAAAATATTGCAATTTTCAACTTGTGTCGCATGTAACTCAAAAAGTATTTGACCTAGAGTCATGAAACTTTACAGGAATGTTGATCAGCATGTGTAATTGTGCACCTGGGTATTTTCGTCTGGATTTATTTATTATTTTTAGAGTTATTGCCCTTGACTTAGTAAAATTTTGCAATCTTCAACTTGTGTCGCATGTAACTCAAAAAGGATTTGACCTAGAGTCATAAAACTTTACAGGAATGTTGATCAGTATGTGTAGTTGTGCACCTGGGTATTTTCGTCTGGATAATTTTAGTATTTTTAGAGTAATTGCCCTTGACCTAGAAAATCTTTGCAATTTTCAACTTGTGTTGCATGTAACTCAAAAAGGATTTGTCATAGAGTCATTAAACCTTACAGGAAAGTTGCTCAGCATACTTATTTTTGCACCTGGGGTTTCGCTTGTGGATTTATCCTGTACTTGTAGAGTTATTTCCCTTGACTTAGTAAAAACCGTTTCATTATGTTGTTATTTGTTCCTTGAGTGCTTGAGTTAGAATTAACTAACTTTACAGGAATAATGATCAACATCACTATATTACAAGAATAATGATTCACATCATTGTGAAGCTATGCACCTAGGACTTTGCATGTGGATTTTTTTCAGTTTTGTTAGTTATTGCCCTTGAGTAGTATAAATTTGCAATTTTCAACTTGTTCATGCATAGCTCAAAAAGTATTTGACTTGTAGGCCTGAAAGTTTACAAGAATGTTGGTCAGCATGTGTACTTATGCACCTTGGGGTTTGCTTGTGGATTTATTCAGTAATTGTAAAGTTATTGCCCTTTACTTAGTAAAAGATTTTTAGTTTTAAAAAATATTTGACCTAGAATCATAAGATTGACAGTACAGAGATGCGGTTGGGGCACCTGTGTGCTATGGACACATTTCTAGTTCACAATGTTTCTATAGTGTCTTATATAGAACACATTTATACCATATATAAAGTATAACCATGTTATGAAATTTATAATAACTTATATGTATGTATTTTGATACAAAGTTATTTCAAAATCTTTACCATAGTTCTAAGTTTTCATTG